CGAGCACACCTTGTCTTGACAGCCAGCACTTAGCCGTGAGTCACGTCGCCCTACGCATCACAAATTTGGCACACAGTGTTTTTCGTTATGCAGCTGCACACACATGAAGGGAAGACGCTCATGGAACTGAAGCCCGCATGTCTGGTCGTGAGATACCCGTAAGATTAAAAACTGGCCAAGCAGCGCAGCATGATTCACAACATACCGCGGCATATATTCGCCGCATCGGACTTAGATGACCGTTTCAGTCATTGCAGAACCGAAACCTACCAACTCCGCAGAACTCTCCACTTTTCCATTGCAAATGGTCTCATGCACTCGTTCCTCCGCTGAACATGATCGAGGCTACCTCTTACGTTGCGACTTGATGGCACAACATGCGGATATATAGGACTATAGGACTGGACTATATAGGATATATAGGACTATAAGACTGGGACAAATGGATCGCTTACATTTCAATTGCGGAAACGAAATGTTGGGAGAGGGACATTTTACACTGTAGAGATCCTTGGTCGTTTAAATGCATGCGGCTTCTTGCCCTCGCTCCGGGCTCCGTTGGCCGGTTAGGGCGGCTTGGTTGGTTTGATCGAGTTGCAAGTGGTCGCGAGTGAGCGGGGACGGAGGACTCTGCCATGGGCCCCAAGACAGTCAAGCGACCCTTACACGATGAAGAGTCCACGCAGTCCTCACATTACACGACCACCGGGCCGACACAGGCACACTTGCCCGCGACACTACGCGGAACAGTCTACCAACCAGGAGCCACGCGACTCGCGACCGGCACAGTGCAGCAATAAAACGGTTTTCTACAGATCCTGTACTTGCCAAGCGGCTCTGAAAATCCCATAGGTCAAGCGCGTTTACGTGTCCTAAGAGGGTCAGACGACCGCTGAGACCTTCGGGCACTGCTTACGTGCGGACACTCCCAATACAGGTGTGCCGTTTGAGAAACAGCTGCGCGGTTTCCAGAGCCGACACCCTTGTTATACGAATCCAGTAAGGAATCTTGCTAATCTGCTGCGGTTTTAGGTGTTGATGCCACGGCTAATCTAACTGAATTGACAGCAGCCCGACTTATGTCCCTCGGGTAAGTTGTGAGGACAAAAAAGTTTTTTTTTGTCTTCTAACACAAGAATGACTAAACGAAAGTCGTTCTGTGCATTAGCAAGGAACACTATTCACAAAGATAAGACAGTAGTATTAGCCTTATTCCTCGAAGAAAAAGCAGGGAAATGGAGATAAAGTTTGGTTAATATTTCGGCAATATGCCTTTATCTAAACAATAGCTGAAGTGTTGTAGCTCTTCTGCTATTGTTTCGATAAGGCCATGTTGCCGACATATCAACCCAACTAAATCTCCATTCTCCTGGTTTTTCTCTGATGAATAAGGCCAATGCTACTGTCTTATCTATACAAAAAGATATTGAGGCATGCGCTGCAAAAATTTAGTGGTCCGTTCACAAGAATAGTTGGTGCCTGCCCCGAATGCGCTACTCGGCTTCAAACTATTAACCATGTTATGCAACCCAAAAATCGTTTAAACCAAAACAATCATAAACCAAACCTATGCTTTACTTTTGTTGGGTGTGTCACGCTTTTCGACAGCTGTCACTGCCTCACGTTGGATATGCTTCCTGCGTTTATTTTTCATTCGTTCACGTTGTATAGTTCTTTCGAGAAGGGGAGACCACCCAAAAAACAATCGATTGCATGTTTGAATGTCTCGATTTTGTTTGTAGGCGATCATTGAATGTATATTTTTTAGCAGCGAGCTTCGTAGGTCCCTCATGGAACAACACACTTACAGGCAGCAAGTGCATGCAATGACATAAACATCGCCTCACTCATGCACACAAGCACACTCAGCGCCAACAACAGAAATTTAGCGATGAATGAGAAATGGACAGTTCAGTAAAAAGAAACGAAACCACGTAGTAATGCCATACAAAAAGATTACAACAATCGACATGACAAGCGCGTGGAACACAGCACTGACGGCGCGCTGGGAGAAATCTGGAACGACAAGCGCGGTCATCATTTCCTGAGAAGCACGTTAGATCTGAAGGTGGGGCGGTTAAGCTTGCTTGAAGATGCAGTTCCCTTAGCTAAGGTGGCGATCAAGACGTGCTTTGGATGAGTGAAAAGAAAGACTTTTCCTTACTGCGGAAGGGAGCGGTTGTTAAAACTTAAGTGAGTCGGTTTGCGGCGGCGGCCATGAGACGGCGGTCACGATGGAGGCATGAGACGGCAGCCATGACGGAGACATGAGGTGGTGGTTATGGCTGGACAAGAGACGGCGGTCATGGCGGAGACATGAGACGGTGGTCATGACGGAGACATAAGCTGGTGGTTATGGCTGGACAAGAGACGGCGGTCATGGCGGAGACATGAGACGGTGGTCATGACGGAGACATAAGCTGGTGGTTATGGCTGGACAAGGGACGGCAGCCATGGCGGAGACATGGGACGGGGGTCATGGCGGAGACATAAGACGGGGGTCATGGCGGAGACATGAGACGGCAGTCATGGCGGAGACATGGGACGGGGGTCATGGCGGAGGCATGAGACGGGGGTCATGGCGGAGACATGAGACGGAGGTCATGGCGGAGACATGAGACGGCGGTCATGGCGGAGACATGAGACGGGTGTCATGGCGGAGACATGAGACGGCAGTCATGGCGGAGACATGAGACGGGGGTCATGGCGGAGACATGAGACGGCAGTCATGGCGGAGACATGGGACGGGGGTCATGGCGGAGATATGAGACGGGGGTCATGGCGGAGACATGAGACGGCAGTCATGGCGGAGACATGAGACGGGGGTCATGCCGGTGACATGAGACGGCAGTCATGGCGGAGACATGGGACGGGTGTCATGGCGGAGACATGAGACGGGGGTCATGGCGGAGACATGAGACGGGGGTCATGGCGGAGACATGAGACGGGGTCATGGCGGAGACATGAGACGGCGGTCATGGCGGAGACATGAGACGGCAGTCATGGCGGAGACATAGGACGGGGGTCATGGCGGAGACATGAGACGGGGGTCATGGCGGAGACATGAGACGGGGGTCATGGCGGAGACATGAGACGGGGGTCATGGCGGAGACATGAGACGCGCGGGCATGGCGGCGGTCATGGGACGATTGGTGGCGGTTGATTGATCGCAGCTTTCTTGTATATTTTATTACGGATGAGTCAAGCGGATATTTGAACCCGAGGAATGGCTTGTACTGTAACGGGCAGGCGTCTTCTTGTATCGCAGTTTTCGCTATCGGGTACGTATAGTGCGCCACCTTTTCTTGACGTCATCCGCCTTTGACATCACCTGTGAAAGGTGTAAATGCGGTTCCTGTTTTCAATGAATTCAAAATGGATAGCAGAAACTATTCCATACAGCAATCTTCAGAATGATAAAGCAGGTTAGTTTTGGCATAGGGCTGATCTACATACTTGACCCCAGGTCAAAGGAATTTCTTAGTTCAAGTGTTGTGTTGCATAAGCAACTATCTCAGAGATGTATGGCCTCATCTAGCACCCCGTTATTGCATCAGATTGGGAGATTCCCTAGATATCGTCTTCGATGCATCCATGGCCTGACTTCGACGTGCCTAGGTCAGTGCCCTTGCAAGGTTGATCTTATTTTTTACACTAAACGATACGCTATTCAGTTGTCTACAGCTACGCAAAATGTGGCGCGTATGTGGCGCGCCGTTCGGAAACCATTTGAAAGAAAATCGGGAGGGGTTCAATTTGACCCACTACTTGGACGCGTGTTAAATGTATATCAGTTGTTCATGGCAGTGTTTGGTATGGTGCGTTTGCTACCGTGCGCAAGCCATGGAATTTCCGCTTTTAGGACGTTTTCTAAGAATTTAGGTCACATCTCAGCAGCCAGAGTAGATGAAGGCGTGGTGCTGACCGCGCAATTTAAACGAAGGCACCGGTTTTAAATTAGTAATAGATGTCCCAACGGCCCGACCCTGAGACGCCCCAGTGAGCATATCGGTAACGGCCAATGCCTCCTTTATAAAACCCATCTTGACTGCAGTAACCCCTTACTTAAAGTAATATAGCTGCTACCATGAAAACGGCATAACAAATGTATATCAGTATGTTTGTCACAACGATCAAAACCGTGGATCGCTGTGCCCCATCCAATTCGCTTATCAAGCTTGCCCAAACTTTTAGAGACAAAATTAGTCAAAGTTGGCCATTCTCGAAAGGTAGGCCTTTTGACACATTTATCAGCCCGATCGGTGTCAGTGGCCGAATGCATCTGGCTCCATTAGTTAGTTTTGGGCATCATCCATGTGATTTTAGCTGACATATGGCGCATCTGTTGGTGCCTCGCCCGTTCCACGCCGCCCACGGCGTCGCACTAGGCTAGGCATTCGCCCAGCTAGGTATTCCGTGTTTGTTGACCATGGGTTTCCATGGCAAGCACGCTCCGTCGGGCTCTACATGTAAACGAACCTTTGGCCACCATTGCCGGAAGCCTACGTGACTGGGCATCATCAATGAAAAGGCTACACAGATGATTAATTATGGGCGCTGCAACAACGGTTACCATTGTTGTTGGACTACTGTTTGCCATCAGGTGTCGACTAGAGCCTCCAGCGTTTGGCAAGTGCGGTGAAATGTGACGAATCCTTACAGCATCATTGATATGTTTATCATCAGTGCTTAGTTACTAGAAATCGTTCGTAGAAGGAAATGAATGGAAGCAGTTACGCATTTCCTTACAAGTGTGTGGTAATGGCTGGAATCAAAAGCGAAAATGTTCCGTTTGCAGTATTCTCTGTTGTCATTAACGCCGTAACTGCGTACCGTGCCTATTGTATTTGTGTACGTTGTCCTGTCTTGGCATGCATTTTGGCATGGCGCAACTTTTTTAATCTGGTTACCGCCCTTGAAAGTATATAAACTGGGCGATCGTATTATACTGCTGCCACAGCGTTTCGACCAGCGCGACTCATATGTTCCTGTGTTTACAGCTGCGCCAACTAAGGTCAAGATTACAATTCATGTGAATAGTTTCGGAGCGCCGCAAGCATCTACAATGGTAAGCGGCGTCGCGTCATGAACAGCGAGCTCAACCTGCGTTCGAGCAGAAAACATAATGGACAGTACACGCACCTTAAAGTAGATGATGAGCGTATGATGATGATGATGAGGATGAGGAGGAGGGGGAGGAGGAGGAAGAGGAGGAGAAGGAGGAGTAGAGAGAGCGTATGGCTGCAACACGGCCCTCAACGCCAAACGTTGCATGTCTGGTGAGCCAACGTCCTTTCAGCCCAGTTGATTTGCGATTTGATCTACTGCGTTTCTCGACTGAGAGCACGTAATGCAACGGTGACGTGAGAGAATTGTGTGCGGGTGGGTGGGGTATACCACAAGTGTATATTGATGCCATGTATATTCATAGCCAACATGGCGGGATTTTTCTGTGATATGGTGTTGATGGATAGATAGGTATGCGATGCATTATCGAGGCATCGTGATAGTCACTATTTCTTGTTTGGTAAATGATGTCAGGAAATTAAAATGTTTAAGATGCTGCGCATTATTTACGGATAAGGCTTGCGCCGAAGTTGGAAATCTATCAGAAAACAGCACGAACCTTCATTAAGGTGAAGCAGACATCAGCCATCTTGTCTCGCTGTGACCGCTTGCCCAGCAGCATCTTTTTGCGGCAAAAGTCTACCATTTTCATTGTCGAAGAGAGGAGTAAGGTAGTGAAATGGTCAAGCACTTCGCGTCCTCGGCCTTCACGCAGGAGGACGGGTACGACGGGTCTGAGGACGGGTACGACGGGTCTGAGGACGGGTATCCCGTCTGTTCTGTATGGCCCTTGTGTTCTAATGTGGTCACCACAGCAGCCGGTGCTCCGTAAAGAGACTGATTTGATTTGATCTGATTTGATGTTTACTTTCGATTATGGACATTAAGCGGTACATAACATGAAAAGTGGATTGGTGCATAAGCGGAACGCTTAAATCTGAGCGCCTCTCCTAGCAATAACAAGGTATGGTCATCGCCGGCAGAGAACCCACGACACGCCGCCCACTCGCCCGATCCGTAAGCCGACACGGGCCAGGCGCCCGCCGCCACCCCGGTCTACACATAAACCGTCTCGCACATACTGCCGGGCCGACGGCGGACGTCCGGCCCGGCAACGCCACCCAGTGGCCCGTCTGCTGACCGCGCCCGCTGAAAGCGTCTAGGCGAATCGCTTGGTCAAAAAAAGAAGTGCTTGGAAAATTTTTGCCATGTGCTGCCCATTGCGATCCTGTAAACCGTTACCTCTGAGAAAGATACTTAGTCGCTCGTTGTGAGTGAGCTCAGAAAGGTTTGGAATGATGCGATCTCTTTTACGTAGCATTAAAATTCGGATTTCATGATAGCGAGGATAGTTAAGTACAAAGTGTTTAGGGTCTTCATATGGATAGCCACATAAGCAAGAGGGACTAGATGTATTTGGATTTTGAGTTCCGAACAGGTGGGCATTCAGGTCTGACATTCCCAATCTCAGCCTAGTATTTGGGATGTTACCACGCATGGATCCAAAGCTGTGACACACCGGAGGCACGGCCACACCGCAGAGCCGGTAAATGTCCCGACTGAAGGAACGTGAGGACTGGAGGGATGGCACCTCAAGCGAGAGCTGGTTCCATCTTCTCGTAGTTGATGAAATATAGGATTTTTTGGCATGTTGAGGTTTTGTTCGGTGGTAATGTGAGTGTCATTGCATTGCGTAGTGGGCGTCCTGTTGCAAGTGCTCGTGTGTCAGGTAGAAGTGCAGTGACGTTTGTTGGCAGCAGGTGTTGGTTGTGTATGAGGGTGTGGAACAGTGTCAGTTTGCGCATGTTTCTTCGTGATTTGAGAGTGTTCCGTCCCAAATCGTCCAACAGCGCGCGGACGTGTGTTCTGTGGAGTGCACCGGTGATTAGTCTTGCTGCTCTGTACTGTAATCTGTCAAGTCTAGGGGAGTCGCTGGTTGTCACAAGTCCGTTGTATACCACGTCACAATAATCAAATAAAGGAAGAATGTAAGTTGTATATATGTAGTTGAGGATATGCCGAGGGAGAGGTCGCGATAGTGGGTAGAGAGGCCAAGGGCTCTACTGATTTCGGAGATGGTGTCATTAACGTGCTGATAAATCAGTATTTTGTTGTATACTGATTTAATACTTATTATATTATTAATAAATATTTAATTCGTTGTATAATCAGATAAATTGGATAAGTAGACATCGTCAGGCCAGGGAGTTTGTGCCTTGTAACGGAAGGAATTCGTTGGCCATCAAATGCCAGCTGCGGTGGATTACGTGTGTTTCTGTTGGTAAATGTTTGTTGAATTGTTTACGTGGCGTTGAACGTGATGAGCCAGTCTTTGCCAAACTCTTGAATGATATGTAAGTCGTGTTTGAGTGCCGCTTGTACAGTGACTGGGACGTATGAGTGAGCTGTGCATAGCGTAGTATCGTCGGCAAAGAACAATACGTCATTATTATTACGTCATCATTATTACGTCATCAGTTTTGTCGGCTGGGTTGTTAAGATGTATAAGCGCAAGGAGAGGTCCCAGAACAGACCCCTGGGGACACCCAGCATGTATGGTCCTAGCCGTGCTGAAACTGTTGCCATCCTTAACTATCTGCTTACGGTCTGAGAGATACGATTCAAGCCAGTTTAGGAGAGGTCCTGACAAACCACAATAATTTTTGCACTTGAGTGGGAGGCCCTCATGCCATATCTTGTTAAAATATTTACTAGTGTCCAAGTAAATGGCTGTTAAGTCATTACCTCGGTCCAAAGCTGCTTAAATATTGTTGATTATATATACCAGCTGAGTTTGCGCTCTATGTTTTGGACGGTATGCACTTTGCCTCTCAGAGAGCAGCCCATTCTCAGTTAGGTGTTGATAGGTATTATTAAACGTAATTCTTTCAAAAAATTTTGACACACAAGGAGGTAAACTGATTGGTCTGTAGTTAGTACGATCCGAGCTTGACCCTTTGTTTTTGAAAATGGGATAAACCTTTGCTTCTTTCCAGGTGGAAGGAAAAATACCTTGGCTTAGTGACATGTTGAATAGGTTGGTGGGTGGAGTCTTTATCAATATGGCGGTCGTTTTAATATTTTGCCGGAAGATTGTCAGAACCGCATGATTTTTTTGGATCGAGAGTGTTGAGTGCGCTCAGTAGTTCATCCTCTGTAATGGTTATGCCATCTAACGTGGGTGGTGGATCCGCAAGCGCGGTCTCGGGGACAGGTAGGTCGTCAGCTGCGAGTTGTGATTGTCTGGCAAAAAAGTCACATAGTAGGTTAGCTTTATAGTAGGTTAGCTTTAAGTCTTCTGTCAATGGGGTTGAATCAGGTCCTAAGAGCGGTGGCACTGTCTCAGCTCGTGTCCGTTCTATCATTTGTTTAAAAATGCGATGGAACTTGTGTGGTTTTTGCTTTGTATGCAAGAGGTTGTTTGCTTGATGCTGCGAGTGATTGTTCTTAAGTCGTCTGTTGCATGTGGTGAAATTGCTGGTGAAATCTGTCGTCATGCATGTGGTGAAATCGCTTTGTTGTCGTTAGCGGTCCCTGTTGTCATCAGCATATACCTCTGAGGAGGTCTGAAAGGTCTGTCTCTTCTAATCTCTTCTTTATTGCAGCATCGACCCAAGGTTTGTCACTGTTTCTCATTCTGATTTTCTTTGTTGGGATGCCTTTAGCAGCTGCTGCGAGCATGGTCCGCGTGAATTTATTTGTCGCTGTGTCTATGTCATGATCAAGTACTCTGTCGCAGTCTGTTTTTATCAGAAGTTGTGAAAGTTTGTCTGCACCCATGTTTATGTATTCCCATACTTGTTTGGCTGATGCCCTTACGGGTGGCGATGCAACCTTGATAATGACAAAGGTAGGAATGTGATGTATTAGTGAAAGGGGAGGGGGGGGGGGGGGGGAGAACCCCATTGCCGGCAATAATGTTTGTGTTCAAGGTCAGTATTAAGTCTCGTAAGTTGGCTGTGTCTTGTGTAATGCGTGTTGGCTGATCAGTGTGTTGTGTCAGGTTGAGTGATTCAACTGTGTGTTTCAGACTGACTTGAAATGGAAATATATCACTGTGTTTAGTAGAGTAAGCCTTAGTTAGATAGTTATTACCTGCATTAAAATCTCCTAGCATCAATATCGATGCGGGGTTGTACGTTTGTGCCATGCCAACACTGTCTGACAGGATACCTAAAAACTGTCAGTTGACTGCTAGAAAGATTGGGTGTGGCATGCACACAGCAAACCATAATAACTTCTGATTTGATTTTGGTGAGGGACCAAACCCATCCAACTCCCTCCGGTTCGAGATAAGGTAGTCTCTTTGCTGGGAGTGTTGATTTAAAGTACGCTGCTACTCCCCTTCCATGTCGAGTCCTGTGCTGTCATTGGGTTGTGGTAATTGTGTAAATTGTACAAGCTAGGATGGACCTGTGAGTCAAGTTTGGTTTCAGTCGGAAGCAAGATGTCAATGTCGTTATATGTGGTGAAGAGAGCAAGCTCGTCCAGGTGTCCTTGAGATGTGATGCTGTTGACATGGATGACATGGATGACAGGATGACAGGATGACAGGATGACAGGATGACAGGATGAGGAGCGGTGTGCCCCGCGCTTCGATAAAAAATCAATTGGAATGATGAGATGGTTTTAAGCTTGCCCATGGCTCCGATGTATTTCCGTGGGTGTGGGGGGGGGGGGGGGGGGGGGGGGGGCGAGAGAAGGGCTCTCCGGTCGCACCGTCAACCCCGGGCGGCTGTCTCGAGTCACTCAACTGACGCATGGCAGTTTCCTTATCAGTCACTGTACGTGCGGCCGCATACTTGCGACCGGATGAATATTTTAGCGGACATTTGCATCATGAGAGCTGTCTAAAACGCGCCGAACTGGCTCGCAGTATGAGCACGCCTGGGCACGTGTTACGTTTTCTATTCCCTTTATCAGCCTTGAATGACACGCACTTTTCATTGCACTGTATAGGCAATTTTCCCGGTTACTTTTCCTGTTTCCGACACGCTCCAT